TTTAAACAGGACATTATAAAACTACATCTAATGGTTACATTATCAAAATGTGGTAAATTTTGATACATAATGTTTTCTTGTAGTCTTTGTTGCCATTTTTTATAAATTTCTTCTCCTAGTGGACCTGGTAATTTCCTAAATAATTTTTCTCCTATTTCTCTATTAAATATATTTCCCGAAATAGAAGCATTATAAGTAAAATCTTCTAAGAATTGTTCTATATATTGCCAATTTTTAATAGTCATTTGTTCTAATGCTTTTACTGCTTCATACTGTATCTTAATCTGTCCTGAATTAGGATCTTGTCCAGTGCATAACATATGTATTTTATTAACAAAATTGAATGGATTTGTTCCTAATGATAAAATAATATTTATCTCTTGTGGATATTCTTCTTTAAATCTTTCCCATATAGCTTTTACAGATTCTCCTAAAAATGTTTCTAAATATCTTAACATTTTTTCTGAATTATGATCAAAATCTTTTCCTATATAATCATTTACTACAATATTTTTCCAAATATCTATTACTTTATCCCATATTTGAGGACTATGTGCTGTTAAATTTAAAATTTTTCCTGACTCTATTGGTTGTAATTGTATAGGTTTTTCTACTGGATATCTTTTTCCTCTGGGTTTAAATTTATTTTCTCTGGTTTCATCATAACTTCTATATGGTTGTCTTGGCAAATTTCCTGATCTATAAACTCTAGGTTCTGTATAATTTGTTCCTGATGTACCTGGTATATTACTATCTAGTCCTTCCATAAAATTTAAATCTAATATTTTAAAATCTATTTCTCCTTCACTTTCTTCAAATTCTTGTTCAGATTCTTCTTCATATTTTTCTTGTCCAACGAAATTATTGGTTATTTCTATATTATCATCTATGGCCATCATATATTCTTTTTCATATTCTTCTTCTGTTATATCTCTTACTCTAATATTATTATTATTATCTTGATAAATTACTTGTTCTACTTCAATTTTTCTTTCTCTTACTAATTGTTCTTCCAATTCTTCTAATTTTTCTTCTGTTAATTTATCATATCTTGGAATTATTATCTTATCTTCTATTATTTGTTCATCTTTCATTTGTTTTTCTAACATTCTATCTTTTTGTAATAATATTTTTTGTTTTTGTTCTTCAATTTTGTGTTTATATTTATTTGTATAATATTCATATGAATTTTCCATCCTATACATTAATTCATCACTAATTTTTGTTTCTGTATCTTCTTCTCTGTTAACCCCTTGTCTATAATCTAAGTTTTACATAGGTTTCTCCTCTTCCATCATTATAAAATACTCCATTTTCTGGAATTAGTATATCATTATTTTCTTTATCTTCAAAGAATTTACTAGTGTTCCATTCTAATCCTGCTAATTCTTGGGAAGATATTTCTTTAGGTTTTATCATTTTAATATTTTTACTTGATATATATTCAATTACATCATTTATTTTAATCTTGTAATTAATACTTATATTTTGCATAGTTTTTCCTATAAATCCTATCATAATTACTAAATTACTGCCACTTATAAATTCTTCAAATCCTTTAGTTTGTATTCCTATTTTAATACTTTTACAAAAATCTTCTATAGGTAATGTCATATTAGGAGTGCAATAAAAAAGTCCTACATCACTATTTAAATCTACTTCAGTTAAGGATATTAATGATCTTTGTACATCTTTACCCCATCTTTTATCAAAAAGAGTCACTAACACTTTACATCCAGTTCTACTTCTTACTAATCCTTTTACTCCTATAATTAATAATCCTGTGTGTATATAATTTTTATGAGATTTCTTTAATTGTTCTTTGGCTTTTTTACTCATACAGTCTAAAACTACTACTTGGTCTCCTACACATGACACTTGTTCTTCTGAATAATTTCTAAATAGTCGTGTGTTCATAGTGAACCTTCCTACTTCATATAATCTTTTGGGTTCTAATATTTTTAGAGCAGATTCTCTAAATTGTTCTATATTTTTATCTATATCTATTTCTTCTTCTAATTTTATTTTATCTTTATTTTTAATATTGAATATCTCAAGAGGTGATCTAAAACTAGTACTTTTTCTAGGCTAGTCTATAATTGTTCTGCTAGTTCCAGGAAAAGATGTATTATTCATTTTTATAAACTAAAAAACTGCAAGATTGTTTTTGTTTCTTAGGTCTTGGCTGTATAGGTTTTAATTTTTTATCAAATTCTTCTACAAGATTATCTATATCTATTTCTTGTCTTTTCAATAAATGACCTTCTAAATTTGTTATTCTTTGGTGTAATGTAACTAATAGTTGTATAATTAAATTATTTTGTGCTATTATGGTTTTATCTCCTTTAGATGTTATATCTAAAGTTTTAAAGAAACCTTTATTATAATCTTCCTCTGTATATGCTTTTATTTTTTCTAATTCTTCTCCAAAATTAAAGTTTTTTGACATAAACTAATAATTCTTGTATTAACTGTTCTATTTTTATAATTTTTTCTTCTAAAATCTTTTCTTTATTATTTATTTTTTCTATAAACTGATATATATCTTTTTCTATTGGTTTTGGTTTTCTTTATTCTAAACTTAATATTAATTGTTGAATATCTGTCTTTGTTGGTAAACTTTCTATGTCTATCTTATTTATTCTTCTGAGTATTATTTCTTCTGTAGTTTTAATATAATCTAAATTATTATTTATTTCTTTTAATAATTTGTCTATTCTGATTCTGATTCACTTTCAAATAACAACTTGTATTCAGACCTAAAATTATTTTCTTCTTCGAACCACTCTCCAAAATTAAAATATTTGTATCCTGCTAAATCAACTTCTTCTAAATATGGTCTTAATATTTGTCTATTACTGTTTTTAGAAATTTAATATAACTATATTTTAAATAATGATGATTATCACTGTCTAAAAAGTCCACAATTCTTTGTAATATTGTCCTTCTGTATAATATTTAAATACAAAGACTAATTCTTTTTTAAATATTTCAAAGGCTATATCTAATATATGCATAAAATTTTAGTCTGAATAATAATAATCTGAATCGTAATAACTTGTAGAAGGTAAACTATGTTCGTCAAACAATACAAATCCTTCTTCTTCAATACGGGTCAACCCGGCACGACACGACACATTTTCGACCTGTACACTATTTGACACGACCCTGACAAGACCCGTTTTGTAAACGGGTCACAAAACACAAATCCTGACACGACCCGCCGCGGGTCACGGGTCAACACGACACGATCCGTAAAATTTAAATTTTTTTAAAAAATGTGAGATTTTTTGAAAAATAAATAAATTAAAAACAATAAAAAAAATAAAAAAGTAAAAATAGATTAGCTTCTGTTTTTTGAGATTTTTAGTTCCTTCTATTCTTTTCTATACTAAACAATGACTATATATATCAATATATAAATGAATAAAAATAATAATATAATAAAATATTTAATTGAAAATTAAAAAAAATGACTCTGCGCGGGTTGAAACGCGAACCCCCGGGTTGACACGTGACCCGAAACGAAAAAAAATGGGTCACATTTACACAACCCGTACACGACCCGAAATGACCCGTGGGTTGACACGACGGGCGTTTTGACGGATCGTGTCACGAGTCAACCCGCGGGTCAAAACATGTATTGCCACCCCTACTCCTTATCATGTCCCACATTCGAGTCTCTGATCAGTCTGCATTTCCGTAAATATTTTACAAAAGCATCCAATAACCAGCTCAACTTCATAAACCGATACCGGTTTACATTGGTTGGACCTGGTCAAACCAGAGTTCTGATTTTCGGTTGAATCAGACGGATAACAAAAATGGGGGAGGCAGAAAGTAATAATATAAAAAGGTGAATGTCCTATGTCAGTCTATCAACATCCGGGAATCAAGTGATGAAGGAACACATTAAAGAAAAAACCGTAATAAAGGAGTGTTCGAAATAATTTACCACCGTAATTTCATCCTTAAGAAGAAAGTAGTATGATTGCATTGTTAATTTTAACAATATAAATTGTCCATAAAGTTATGTTACGTAATGCAATTGGATCATCTTGGATGCATAATTTGTTCGAATAATTAGTCCACTAATTCTAAGCATGCATTTTGCCCAAAATGTATCGTACAAGCATTCATCATTATGTTACTAATAATTTCATAAAACATACATAAATCATGTTTTGGCACGATCCTTTTGAGGGTGTTTAAATTTTCTGTCTCATTTTTAGTCATTATTTATGTTTTCCCGAATTATTTATACAATTAAGTGAAAATAAAATCAATGGAGAAATACAGGACATACTTTAAAGAGAAAAATGTTTCTCCTGCAAGAAAGATAAAATCATCTCCAGCAATCTCAAAACAACATAAGAAATAAAATACATAATGAGATTACAAGAAATTTTTTTATCTCTTGTTATAGAAGAAACTTTAACACTTATTATTTTTGCTTGAAAAATTAAAATAATTTCTAAGATGTTGAGAACAAGAATAAGAAGAAATCAAAAGCTGAAGTTTTATGCCGTGTAATAGAGGGATATTGATTTCTCATGTTACAAGAAAAGAAAATCTTCTTTTGCAAAGACAAAACCAAAGTGGGATTCACTGTATAGAGGAGAGAAAAAAAACACAAAATGAAACCCACTTTGATTTTGTGTCTGCAAAAAACTTCTCCTGTACTGTGGGGAAATCAATACCCTATAATATATAGTAAGGCATATGCAAGATCACTGATAAACACAAAATGTAATAAAATTTTCGATTGGAAAATACCGAAGGAGACAGAAACTCACACAGAACAAAAGATAAAACTGCATACTTTCCATCGATTTAATCAGCAAAACATTATACAGTGCAAGATCAACGATGATACCGAAAAATAAAGTATCACTATTATCTCATAACTTAGCATTTTATTTTCAACGTGAATGAATTGTGTATCTCACACTAAATTGATTAACCAATGAAGGAAAAAATAAAAATAAAAATAAAAACAATCAAGGCGTGAACTCTTGATTCGCCTCCGGCTTCTCATACTCTTCAACGTTGTCAAACACATTTTGGTACTGATTCTTCTCATAATAACCACCATTTTTAGTGGTTCCTCTCCCTGATTCGAACCCATTGAGGTTGTAATTCTCGTCATCATTATTCACTTGATCATTGTACTTGCCATCCTCAACGAACCTTGTGTCACTCATTCCTTCTCTCTTACCCTCGTAGCCCTTGCCATTATAATTGTTGTTGTAGTAGTTTTCTTGGTCATTGTAGTTGTTGCTTTTGAAGTTGGTCTTGGGATAAGCAGTTTTGTAACTCTCATCATTGAAGTTTTCATTTAGGAGCCCATTTTCAAAGGTGGTGGTGGTGGTAGTGTCCTTGATGGGAGAATATTGTGTAGAAGTAGAAGTTGTACCATAGAGGCCATAACCATCATCCTTATCAATAAAATCTGGCTCTGGCTCTGGTGTTGAAAAAGATGGTATTAGTGATTCACATGGTGCTGGTGTTGGTGTTGGTGCTGATGATGGTGTTGTTATTGATGCTGGTGCTGGTGCTGGTGCTGACCCAAATGGCAGCATTGGATCAATTGCTGGTGTGGCTACAGGTACTGAGGTTGGTGCTGTTGGATAAATATATCCTCTGTTTCTTACTCTCATCCCAAGAGGTGCTAGTGATGGTGCTGGTGTTGTTATTGATGCTGGTGATGGTGCTGACCCAGATGATATTATTGGATCAATTGCTGGTGTGGCTGCAGGTATGGAGGTTGGTGCTGGAGATTCACATTTTGGTTTCTGGGGCAAAACTTGAGAACCTTTGACATCATAGGTGTTTCTTGGAAGGGTAAAGAAGTTAAAGGGCTTGCCCACTCTGGCATGAATTTGGGGGGACAGAACAACAACAAAGAAGAAAAAGAATGAGAGTTTCATTCCAAAAGAAGCCATTGTGTGAAGAGACAATGACAATGAGAGATGAATACTGTTGAGAGAATGAAATTGTTAGGCTTATTTTATAGAGCGAGCATGCTCATAAATCAAAGGAAGAGTAATTAATGCTGACGAGAATAAATGTCGTAACTATTAACAGAAAATAATTTAATTCAAAGATATAATTATTTTTCATGTGATTTTCAAATGTGATTACTCTGTAATCAAATATAAATTTAAATAGTTTAATGTGATTGAGGGTTGAAAATAAGGGGAATGATTGTGGGAGCGTAAAACTTTGAAACTGTAAAGCAATATTCGACTGATTGAGCGTTATAAGATAAAAACAAATCTACACGAAACATATTTATCTTCCTATTTTATTAAAATTAGATTTGATTAGTCATTAATTCTGTCTGTAAAATTAATGCTAACGAGAATAAAATTGAAAGTTATTCAATATTATTCTGGGAATTATGTAATTGAACCAAATAATGGTAGGTGAGTTGGTGCAATAAAGCATATGTTCAATTCTCCTCGTGATGATTAATCAATTAGAATATTTAAAAAAAAATTATGTAATTGATTGGATTTTGATGAATGTGATAATAAACTTGGCTATTAACCAAAAGTAATTTGATGCAAAATATGATTGTTTTCGGCTCCACTCGATAGTAAATTTAACCAAATTTAAACAATTCAACCAATTTAATTTAATGTGATTTAGGATTGAAAAATAAAGTTGGAAAAAAGGGAGAAAAAAAGGACAAAATAAGTGAGAGAGTGAAAATTGAAAATTGGAAAGCAATATTGCGATTGATTGAAAGTTGTTGGTAAAAAAATATTGAAATACTATTTTAGGTTAGCTGGACACATATCTACCTTTTTCATTTTTAAAAAAATGGATAAGTTAGTCATTATTTGATCAGTCCCTATAATTAATTTACTATCTTATAAAGTACTAGAATTTGATTGGCCAATAATATTAATGAGAATAGAATGAAAAGTTATTTAATCTATTTTTATGAATCATACAATATATATGTAGGGATATATTAATCTGCCTACTCTTATTTTGTTTACATTTGCCTACCTCTCTCAACACTATTAGATTAGATTACAATCTTATCTTACGGTCGAGATTTGCGGAATAAATATTTTTCCCCTTTCTTTCTCCTCATTGCCTCCCACAAGGGGTGAAACTGGGCCGGGCTAGCCTACAGGGGCCTACGACTCGGCCTACGTCAGGTCAGACCTGACCTAGTACATTTCGTAAAATAGGTCGGGCTTGGGCCTTGAAAAAACTTGTTAAATAAAAAGGTCATAGGCTCACTTTCACAAGCCCTGGCCTATAAGCCTACAGGCCGCCTATATTGTACTATTTATTTTAAATATAATATAATATAATAAGCATGCTTTGAAGAAAAAACAAAAGATATAAATTTAATCAATTACAATTATTTATAACTTAATTATATTTGATTATATTTTAATAGAAACCTGACATATTTCTTATGTAGGAGGAGCCAACATCTCAACATGTTAGATTATATATATGAATATATTAAAAGATTTTTGGGAGAGATTATACTTACTACGAGCATCATGATATGTTTGTTGGATTCATGTAGTTATTTTAATTTACATAGTATGGATTTGTTTGTTGGATATGATGAAATATATGTTATTTAGTTTGAACATTTTGCTTTTGAAAGTGACTTAAATATAGATTGTATGAGTTTTGTTGTGATTCATGATTCTGTTTGGATGTTGAAATTATGATTTTTGGTTTAGCAACAGAATTTGAGTATTTTGTAAAGTTGCTTCATGGTTCTGCTTGGAAGTTAAAAATTAACCGGCTAAAGGGCTAGGCCAGGTCATTTTTTTTTTAATAAACGGACCAAGCCAGACTAACAGTTAGACTCGCACTAGGCTTGGGCCAGACCAAATGGAAATTTTTTGGCGTAGGCTTGGGCTTTTTGGGGGAAAGTTTGACCCACCCAGCCCACTTTCACCCCTACCTCCCATACTCTTTCTTTCTCCTCCTTTTTCTCTCTATCGATTTGCGTAATTTACAACCTGAATTTATATTTGAATCTAAATCCATACAATGATTAATGGCATGATAGTTCTACTAGATGAATATAATTTTCAAAATTCCTTGAATATGATATAATTGAACACGACAGAAACCACATAAATTCAAAAAAATGAAAACCACGAATAATCTCTTTCTTTGAATTAATCCACGATTACCGTAATGTTTCTACTTTATTGTTGAAATTTGAAATCGAATCAACTTATCTCCTTCTTCTTATCTTGTTTTTCATCTTGAAGTGGAGAAATGATCTTTGTTCTCTCTATGTTATGCCCAATAACAGACCTACATGGTTCCATAACATAAGGTATCTGGGTTTGTTTCTTCTTGACAACCCATTTTAATTTTTTATATAAATGCTTATAACAATGACTGGATTGGATGAATTAAGAAAAAAACTTGCACATTTTTTGATGCTAAAGCACCATTGAAGAAAGAAAGGGGAGGAGAGAGAAAGAAAGGGGAGGAGAGAGAAAGAATGAGAGGAAGTGGGAGGGAGAAAGGGATAAAAGAGTTTATTTTATATTGTAAATCTCCACGAGATTGTAATCTAACATTATTGAGAGAGGTAGACAAAGATAGATATAATAAGGGTAGGCAAAATAACCCGCGACATAATTAAAATATGGGATAGGTTAATGTCTTAAATAGTGGATGATGAAATGAGAATTGAGGTTATTTTGTCTTAAAACAAATAAATATGCTTAATTGTAATTCTTTGGAAGTATAAGGGGTTAATTGATTGAATTGGACATGGAGGGTGGTGTTTTGAAAGAGCAATTAACTATAAGGTGGTTTCATGTAATTTGCCCTAAACTAAATTCATAATAACATACGCAATTAATAAAATAATTTGAGCCATATATATCAACAAAAGGTATTGGCTTAATGATAAACTAAGGGGCCGTTTGGTACACGGATTTTTCTCGGATTCCTGAGAAACTGAAATTTTTTAAATTTTAAATTTTCAGATATTATCCTAAACTGAAGGTAAAAATCTTATTTTTGAAAATCGATATTCCCGAACAAATAAAAATTTCTTCTATACCAAACGCTCCCTAAATGCATTTTCCATATCATGTCATACGTTCGAGTTTCAGTCTGTATTTCCATAAATATTTTTCAAAAGCATCCCTGTCAAATCGGCGATTTCACAGTGGTTTGCATACGGTCTGATGACAAGTGCAGACCGGTTGGTGTTCTGATTTTCGGTTGAACAAAAGGGGGGAGGCAGAAGGTAATAATAGAAAAGGTGAATGTTCTATTCAGTTTACCAACATCTGGGGATCAAGTGACGAAGGAACACAGTAAAGAAAGAACCGTAATAAAGAAAGGCACACAGTCCAGGTCAGCGAGGTCGGAACACAAGGACCGACTCCCAGACCCCAGCTGAATGCAGCGATTGCTGCAGTTCGTCCACCTCCACACAATGAGCCACCAGACGTGACAAACATGGCCATGGGAGAAATCCTTCAAAGGTTGCAAGAGATGGAAAACAGATTCCTGACGCAGCAGCGTATGGATGCCCAAAGGATGGCGACATTGGAGGCCGAGCTGAGGACCTTGAACGCGGAAGGCCGGACTAGGGGAGCCGGGTATGTCGTAAACGACCGACCTCAGCAGCAACATGCCGAAGGCGTACAACATCAGAACGCTGAAGGCGTACAACATGAGAACGCCGAAGGCGTCCAGCATCAGAATGCTGAAGATCTCCAGCATCAAAACGTTGAAGATCGACCTAGAAGGCGCGACTATGCTGGTGATGGAGGACCGCGGCGGCAGAACGCGGCTACAATCGAAGGAAACGCGCAGAATGTGTAGAACCTTAACCTCTTCAACAACCGGAATGGTGGTGGTCCGAACGACAACCAGGACAAAAATTATCTGGAGGATGAAGAGGCTAATGATAGCCCATTCACTGAGAGGCTCATGAACTTGGCCATACCGCCGAGATTCAAGAGCACCAGGATACCTCCATACGACGGAAGTCAGGACCCAGAAGCCCATTTAGAGGCTTTCAAAACCGAGATGCTATTCAACGGGATCACTGGACCTATTAAGGCTAGGATCTTTGCGACGACATTGACTGGTCAAGCAATGACCTGGATAACCAGGCTCTCTAGGAACTCAATCGACTCGTTTGAGGACCTAGCTCAGACTTTCCGACTTAACTTTGCAACAAGCAAAGTGCATCCGATGCCAGCCTATGCTTTGGGAAGAATCCGGCAGAAGGAGAACGAATCGCTGAGGAAGTACCTCGACCGATTCAAGGATGCCGCCCTCAAGGTACGAGGGTTAACTGAAGTAGTCCATCTCCACTTAATCATTTCGGGATTGGATGGCGACTCTCCATTGGCGAGGTCTATCTATAAGAACCAGGTGAATGATCTGGAGGAGTTCAGGAGAAGGTCAGACAAATACATTGACGTGGAGGACATGCAAAAGGTCTGTGTCGAATCACGAGGACGAAGCCCTACACGTCGGAGCCCGAGTAAGAAAAACAACAAAGACCGAGACCAGAAGGGATCCAAAAAAGCAAAGGACACTCGTGATAAAAGGTCGGAAGACCGATCACAAAGGAGGAAGTATGACGATTATACACCTTTGAACGTGTCCAGATCCAAGATATGGAAAGAGGTAGCACAGACCGAGATGCGCAATGTCGAGAGACCTCGACCCTCAAAGCCAAGTTCGGATTAGATAGAAGCAAATACTGTGCATTCCACGACCAAAACGGTCACTTTACGGATGATTGCTGGGACCTCCGAGATGCAATTGAAAAGAACGTCAGAGAGGGAAAATTAAAGCAGTATATCATCCGAACACAGGGCAAGAAAAATAATAAGCGAAAGCAAAGAAGCAGAAGCCGAAGTCGAAGCCCAACGAGAGAGGATCGAAAGGATCAAAGACAAGACCGACC